CCGCAGGGACACATTAATGCCCAGGTCCGTTGGTTTTATTCTGCGCCTGGCCTCAGCCATAAACTCGTGGTATCGACCACTCGGGCACATTATGATGACGGCCGCCGGTTTCGGCGGCTTCGGCCTACCCTGCCGCGCCCCTTGCACTCCCCTCCCGGGTTCTACCTTCGGAGGTTCAAAGGCTCGCCCCTTTACCTTCTCCTCCCCTTTCGGTTTCCTCTTCCCCCTCCTCGCCATGACTTGCGCCCACGTCTCATCCTTCTTTGCTGGTTGTTATCCCAGACCTCCGGGGTTGAGCGAATTCCGCGGCCTCTCCTCAATAGGGTAACGGCCCCGCTCCTTCAGTTCCTTTGCCAAGATCCCCATGCCCGGCTTCTTTTCCCTCATCTGGGCTCCTCCACTCCCAATGGGAAACTGGAACCAGACCTATCCCACTACCATTCAGGGCCCGTTCCAGCTTCTCCTTCCTCCGCTTTTCCATCTTCCTATTCTTCTTCCTCCTTGCTCTTTCCTTCTTTCCCCCTCCCTTCTCCGCGGCTGTCTCCGATTCCGCTGGTGGCGGCGGGGCCTGGGTCCTTCTCGAAATGGTCATCGCTTTCCTCCTAGGAGCCGGAGTCGGCGCTGGGACCCACGCCACCTCAGGCACACGGCTACCTCTTCTCTCGACGTCAAGGCAAGCCGCTACAGCCCTCAGGCTGCTAAGCTCCGCCCCGACGCCGCTCGAAGGGACCGTAGCGGCCAAGGCGGCGTCAAGGGCCCCTCTCGCCCCCTCCGGTCACCACTCTGGGGGAAGGTTCTCCTCCGGGAAGTTGTCGTTGTACGACGGTACCTCCTCCGAGGAAAACCCTCTCCCCTCTTTCATCTCCTCCTCTCTAGAGAGGGAAGGCGAATAGAGTTTCCTCATCTTCCTCTTCTTTCTTCTCTTCCTCTCCAGGGTTCGGGCGTCCCTCAGCTCCTCCTCCGTCGAAGTTGAGCCCCCGGTTGCATCCGCGTAAGTCCTCCTCCAGGAACCAACTGGGAGAGGGGGGAAATCGCGGAGGTCAGGGACCGAGACGGCGGAGGTCTTAAGAGCCCTCAGCTCCTCCTCCAACCGCCTCGTCCCCTCAACCTCCTATTGTCTTCCCTCAGCCCCTCCATCTCCCTCCTTATTCTGGTGGTTTCATCCTCCCTCTCATCCTGCTCCGCCATCCTAGCGATCAGTGTGGCCATCACGGTCTCAGTGGTGTCCACGGCACGGTTTATTAGTCCTACAAAGGTCTACTTTAGAGTTCGGGACCTCTTTGCGATCAACTTAACCGCGCCCAACGCGCGGCCAGCCTTCGAGGCCAGCTCGGCGGCCCTAACCTCCTCAGGAGCTCGGCGGAGGCAGGGTCCCGATAGATCTCCTCGGCCGGGCGTGTGTCGCCCAATGAGCGAAACAAGCCCTTGCCGAGGAGGTCCCAGGTCTTCCTCTCCAACCTCTCCATCTCCATTTCCCTGTTTCTCTCCTTCTCCTTCTCCCTCCTCTCCCTGATACCCACTCCTTTTCCCGTGGTAGCGGGTCTCCCCCGCTTTTTCGGGACGGGTATCAGGGAGGGGAGAGGTACCTCCGTTATAGACGAGCCGCCGCCACTGCTAGTGGTGCCTATCCTAGCACTCTTCCTGCCGCCACTGTTTTTGGCGGCTTCTCCTTCCGTCCTCAACCTTGACGCCACATCTGCCACGCTGGTGTCCACTGCCTTCATTGTTGCTGCCGGGGAGGCCCTTAGGATCGAAGCCCGGTTGGGCCTAACAGCCCCACCTGTCGTCCCCGAGGTTGCAGCTCGAACCGCTTCACTCGCATCGCTCGCTGTCCTAGACATCGAGGGTCGCACAGTCCCTAATACCAGGGCCTGGGTGACCCTCCTGATACCTTGTGATCCTGGAACCTTGCGAGAGTATTACGTCGGAGCGGATCACCGAACCCCAGGTCCTCCGCCCCGACCCCGTAGCCCCCTTCCCGGTTCCTACATCCCTCTTCCCTGGTCTCTTCTTTCCTTCCCCCCTTCAAAGATTCCCTCCCGTGTCCCCCGGGTGTCGATGGGGGCGGTCTCCCTCCTTACTTTTGTAAAGAGGGGGCCCGGCCTCCAGGGACTTCATGGTCCCACGTTGGATGGCCGCCCTTTGCCTATCCGAAGGGCTCACCGCTCTACCCCTACGATCGGAGGAGAGCCGCCGGCTACGCGCCGGCGAGGACGGTGGTCGGTCCTTTGTACATGGCCCCACGGAGGCTTAGCCCTTCGAGGTCCATGGCCTTATCCTCCTCGGGGAAGGTAAGGCACCCGCCATTTGGATCCCTACCATCTCTTCTCCCAAACTGACATCATCAGAAAAAGCATCCCCTGCCGGGGTGGTAAGCTCTGGGACGGGCTGCTACGCCCGTCCGTGTGGAGCTTTGAGCCCGAAGGCTCTGAGCCCGAAAGCTCGGAGTTTGTATTTAAAATTTCGAGATCCATATAGAATCCCATGAGTACAGCGGGAAAAGGGCGTCGATCCCGGGTAGAGCCCCCGCATTACACGGGATAAGGCTAGCGTGTCCCCGTGGTGCGCCACGTTCCACGGGTGAGGAACCACTAGCGACAGGTCACGCATTTGCCATTCATCCCATAGGCGTGACATTCCTCAACCGTAGGATTACGTGGTGTTTTATAAAGGTCCCGCCTCGCGGTCCGGCCGATTAAGGCAAGACCCCCGGCCCCAGAGACATAACCTAGGGTTACGGTGTGATAGGCTAGGGTCTGCCGGGGTTCGGATGAAAAACGGGATTTAAGATCATATTTTTCAAAAGTTTTTTTTTTAATTTAGTAATTAGAATTTTTTATTTAAATTTCCTTGAATTTGTTTCAAACTATATTTTTGTGGGTAAACCATTATAAATAACTTCATTATCAATAATGTTGAAACAGCCTATACTGATATTTATCGCATATCGAATGTTGCGTTGTTTTAATTTTTGACAAGAAAAGTTATAATGTTCTGTGAGTACTGTAATAATACATTATATAAGCACAAGTCACAAGAACACCGTTGGAGTCATTGGAATAACTGCATGCCACTCGATTGTCAGGTTAAGCAAAGCCTAGCGCAGTCAACACATGGATGGGATGCCGCTTGAAATCGTAGCTTTTCAACGGATGCAAGACACGAGAAAATTAAGAGCAACTTTTTTATATGACAATAATATTACAGTTATATTAGGTTGGGGAAAAAGAAATCTATTATTTTTCCGCTATGTGATGGCTTTAGTAGTATATATCACGTGATGTATTAATCGCATAGATTAATATTTATACTCATTGGAAAAGTGACATTCCGACTAAAAAAAAATTCTTTTGGTTTTGTGATTTGTCGATTAAGTTGTGAGTTATAGCACGTAAAAGATATACGTCAACAAAGAGAAAATTCGGTATATTTTACAATTTTGCTTCGATAAAGGCGAAAATGCAAGCTAGGCGACTGAAATTGTAAATGGTGTTTGTGGTCCCGATACTATCACAGCCAATCACGCGCAATTTTGGTTTCGTTGATTCCGTCCCGGTAATTTTGATGTTAAAGATGCATCTCGCACAGGTAGGCCCGTCGTCGAAAATGTCAATAAAATTATGGAAATGATCGAAGTAGACCGGCATGTTAGCAGTCGTAGTATCGCCCAGGAGCTGAAGATCGGCCACAAAACAGTTTTAAACCATTTGCACAAAGCTGGATTCCAAAAAAGCTCGATGTTTGGGTGCCACACGAATTGACGCAAAAAAACATGATGGACCGAATTTCAATCTGCGAAGCCTTGACCAAACGGAACGAAATCGAGCCATTTCTGAAACGGATGGTGACTGGGGATGAGAAATGGATTACATATGACAATATTATGTGAAAACGATCGTGGTCAAAGCGCAGCGAAACAGCTCAAACGGTGGCCAAACCAGAATTAACGGCCAGGAAGGTTTTGCTGAGTGCTTGGTGGGATTATAAAGGAATCCACCATGAGCTGCTTTCATATGTCCAAACACTAAATTCGGACCTCTATTGTCAACAATTGGACCGTTTGAAGCTAGCGATCGACCAGAAGCGGCCAGAATTGGTCAATAGGAGAAGAATTGTTTTTCATCAGGACAATGCCAGGCTACATACGTCTATAGTGACTCATCAGAAACTCCGGGAGCTTGGTTGGGAAGTTTTGATGCATCCACCTTATAGTCCGGACCTGGCACCAAGCGATTACCATCTGTTTTTGTCATTGCAAAACTTCCTTGATGGTAAGAAATTGACCTCAAGAGAAGACTATGAAAATCGCTTAGTCGAGTTTTTTGCAAATAAGGATCAGGGCTTCTATGAAAGAGGGATCATGAAATTACCTTTAAAATGACGACAAATTGTAGACCAAAACGGTGCTTATTTGACCAAAATTGAACAATTCTAACTATGTTAAATAAAGCCTTGAAATAAACGAAAAAATAATGGATTTCTTTTTCCCCAACCTAATATAACAGCTATATAACATTTTAGTAATTGATGATATTTCTGTTATATAACTACAACTTTCTATGAGTGGGAGATTACAACTAACGTGTATATTGCTTGTAACGTACACGTTATATTACATGTTACATTTCGTTACAATACGACAATGTAACTGGCATGTAACTGTGTTTACTGGATTATAACCTATCAAAAAATTGTGTCCCTCTTTTTAAATCTCTTTAGCTGTTCTCGAGACAATATATATCTACCTTGATATCATGTAGATCAAAAGTAATTTAGTAGTCTACATTTGAAGTAATAAACACCACAACTCGAACTGTTAATAACAAGCTAATAAAGTGAGCGTGCGAATGAAAGGCCTTGGAAATATATAGCAATAGTCACAGAGAACTCTTACCGCACATAAGTGCGTCTACAGCACTAAAAGGGTTAATTTCTTAGCGAGAAAAATGTGTTTTACATTTTTTAACAGATACTATTTATTGTTCTAAAATTTTTATTAGAATACGCCGTGGGTGTTTGCCAAAGTGCTACGGCTCGTGAACGAGGATTATCATCCTATAATTTACATAACCGGGAACGGCTTTCCCGAATCCGGTTTGGAAGACAAGAATAAGGTTGCGTACTTAAGAGGGCACCTCGCCGAAGTGTTAAAAGCTATACGAAATGGCGTGGATATTCGAGGTTACTTATTGTGGTCTTTGCTGGATAATTTCGAGTGGCTGCATGGTTATCAGTAAGATCATAGGATCATTGGATCATTATTTGAATCTATTCATTGACATAGAATATTGAATTTACGGTTTTTATACAAGGTGTACCAAAAGTCTGGAAACGGTCAAAAATTTCATAAACTATGCATTTTAGAAAGAAATGATTCATACAAAAGTTATTTGGTTCGAGAGGGGACATAAGATGGTGTCATTAGATTGACCTAGAGTGGACGTTCCAAGGTCATACGGAGTTCAACTTTGTTTTTTAAACCCCCTATTTTTCATTGCATATTCTTGTAGCTCATCTCGAGAGCTTTCCAAAACACTAAAAATAAATTATGTTTTATTGAGTATTTTCCGAGATATGGGGCTTGAAAGAAGTTTTATCTACGGCTAAGCCATTGTCAAGCAGCAGATGGAGGTCAATTTGAACACTTACTCAACTAAATCACACACCCTTACACACACATATACACACACGCCTGCACACATGCACGCGCGCACACACATACGCACACATACAGCAGAGAGTGTGTGTATGTGTGTGTATGTGTGTGTGTGTGTGTCATTGTGAGTTTGGAGTCATTAAATATCATGATACTACGGGAATGACGAACTGTGGGGTCCTTATCTTTGCTATAACATACACACAAATACACATACATAAGAGGTGTAATCCGATCGTGCAACGTTCACGCGGTACATCTTGACTAATGTCGGCGGTATTGTAACTTTCAAGCCCCATAACCCGGAAAATACTCAATAAAACATAGCTTATTTATAGTGTTTTGGAAAGCTGTCGAGATAAGCTATAAAAATATGCAATGAAAAATAGAGAGTTCTATTTAAAAAAACAAATTAGAACTCCGTATGACCTTGGAACGTCCACTCAAGATCAATCCAATGACACCATCTTATGTCCTCCCTCGAACCAAATAACTTTTGTTTGAAATATTTCTTTCTAAAATGCATAGTTTATGAAATATTCGACCGTTTCCAGATTTTTGGTATAGCCTATATAATAACATTATACAATACAAATTATACAATAATTTTATGTAATAACAAGCAACCATGTTTGTATTTTTGTAGATGGAAATATGGACTCTTCTACGTTGACTTCAACAATTCGAATCTTATTAGAGTTCCAAGATTGTCTGCTAGATATATCGCTCATGTTTACAAGACGCGACGTCTAGATGATGCTTTGGATGTTTTAGATATAAGCAATTAAAATAAAAGAAAAAATTGATATGTAACAATCTATGATTTCCACATAAACATGTGTGTTAAATAATGAAAATATATGTCAAATAAAAGAAATCGAACTCAAAATTCTACCCGGAGAGTACATTATAGCTCTTTTCACATATATTATTCTCAACTTTACCGCATTTTCGAGAAATATGTAGATAAACTATTAATAAAGTTTAAATAGCTAAAGCACATAAAATATTTTTTTAATAATAGACTTCAGTTCCTAAAATATTTATACTATGTACAAAAGAGAAAAATAATAGATGAAGATAGGATAATACATTAAAGAATAAATGTTGTATAAAATAGAAAATAGGAAAATAAATTAAAGCAGAATGTCGATATGTTCCTCAAACTAAAATTCTATAGCAAATTTAATACATGATTCTTTTAGTATGTTGTTAATTATAATATTTAATGTTAAAAATCCCTATTTTTATAGTGTTAAAAATTATTAAATATAGACTACAAACTTAACTTACTTTTATGTACACCAATAGATAATAGTAGGAGATATTCTGAGAAATTCCTTTAAATAATGTTTTAAGTGCAATATTTTTTTGATTTTAATAAAATTCTATTAATAAAATTGAGGAAACAAAGGTAGAGCACTATCTATATTCTGAAAAGAATATTTCGCAATTCCTTTTTCACTGTCTTTCTCACAATAAATATGCCAATAAAACATGCAATTTGTGTATAAAGGCAACGTATAAGCCTACATCTTGTGCGATTGTCATTGTTTGTCCTTACGACAATGATCCGACGGCTGATTGTCTTTGTATACGAGTATTCAGATGTAAGTCATTTATCTTGTCTATTGTCTTCATACTTTTGTCCAGTCCAGCCTATCGTTTCCTATGCTCTTATTGGCTCAGACGTTTTAATTACATTTAGTAACTTAATAACTATTGTGATTTTTGCAAAATGGTACATGATTTTTCTTTTCAGTCTGATCTGATTAATCTTCACAATTTTTCGTTTCCAAAAGATTCCGGATACCCTATATATTTTAAGCTCATCAAAATCGGAGGGGGGAAGCGAGTGAGAGGAGACGCTTTCACATGTTATAAATTGTTACATCTGATTTTCATTTACTTAGGGCAATGCAGCACGGTCTATCTGATTCATGCAGTTCTGAGATACTGAGAAAATGAAAAAATGGATTGATAAATGGATTGCCTAAAAAAATGAGTCCTTTTATCGACGCAGAATCAAACTATTGCCCGAAACATGGCTAAAAGTTATTAATAGCAACGTCCAATATTTTTATTAAAGTATTATGTCATCGTTATTAATAAATAAAAATGGTTTTAATATCATACAAAATTTCATAAGCACTTAATATAAGCCGCATATTTAAACATATCCATGCAGTCGATAGATAACGTAATTGTCCTTCGTTACTGTTTCTCGTTAACTTTGTATGATAGTGCAACTTCAACGCGTCACGGTGCAATCGAATATACAATCGCTTCATAAACTAATTATGTTGAAATATTTAACATATTAACAATGAAGTATCGCAATTTCGATATTTTACTCCATTTAAGTGCGCACTTTGCTATATTTTATCTCTTCATATGAATAAATTCGCGAGAGACTTGTCTACGATAGATAATAATACGGGTATCTTAAATATACATAGTGATGAATTTAACACACTTACAATTTAACTTACAGACATAAATTAGATAGACAGGCGCGCCGCACACACACGCATATACGCATGCATAGCATTGTATCTTATCTACGTAAAGAGATGTATTACTTTACTCGACATATGAAAATTCGTTTTTAACTTAATATATGCTATTTTCTTCGTATACTTTGAAATGGTAATGCAATTTATACATCGCTAACTTTTTGCCTGCTATTCATATTATAAAACGGATACTGAACAATTATTTTTATTGAAGTAACTCACACTTGCTGGTTGTTTGCTAAACACAGCTACATTACGCGTATTTTAACAAACATAGTGACTGCCATGAAATACACGAAGTTTGTCACGATTTTCCTTCTAAACATTTTACTATGCGCATTTCAATCTCAAGCCGAAGTTCAAGAAAGATTTGATAGGCTGGAGAGAGATGCTCTTGATAATAACGCCTTTCCAAGTGACTTTCTATTCGGAGTTTCGATATCTGCGCCTCAATACGAGGGTGCATGGAATGTGAGCGGTAAGAAATGCAATATTGCAAGATCAGATATGTACAAGATGTCTGAATATAGATCCAAATACTTGTAAGTAGAATTCGTTCAATTGAATAAAAAAATCACAAATAAGACTACGATAATTATTGTAATATTAACAAAGTTGCGTAAGTTAATGTATATTTTAACTAAGTTCTTTATTTATTTTTTAGCTAAATTTAAAGTTGAAGATATATAAAATTGATTTAGTTGAATTATGTGTTATTTAAACGAAAACTAAATTAAAAGAATGTTAAAATTAAATTATCTAAATTCAGATATCTTGGAAGAGACTTCATCCAAAATGCTTGTTTGTCCAAATTGCTATAACACTCGCACTCAGTTGCAAATTTTTTTTCATAAATATTTCAATAATTATTGCGGCAGTTTACAAAATAGTAAAAGATTTTTCTATTTAGTTTAATGATTTTTATGCACACACATGAGCGTTTAAACATTTAAATCTAGAGACACTTTGTATATAAACTTCTAAGCTAATAAATCCTTCTACTCCTGGCCGAACATGATGTACATGATTATTCATATTATATAAATATTGTGAGAGTTATGAATATCTTTTTATTTTTTCATAATTATATATGCAGGATAGGATGCATAATTCGTGATATAATTGTTAAAATTCATCCTCTCGCTGCCGCATAAATAATTTCGCTCAACAAATTATACAAAAATAAAAAAAATAAAGGAATTCTCTAGTTTTATTTCATAGTAGTTTTTTTAGTTTCATAGTAGCATTTCTACCTTCTAATTTTTCAAATTAATGCACAATGTTTTGTCTTAATAGCAAAACGTTTACAATGTCTTCTTTGCAAAACCTTTCTTTAATTTGTTAGTATTAAGAAGTGAATACACGCTAAAATCCATTCATGCTTTCATCAAATAGAATTCTATACAATGACATGTGGCAATATTTTCGATATTTTCAATGTAATAAAAAATAAATAACGCGTAAAAAATTTTGTATTATTTGAATTATTACTGTATCATCTTAATCAAACCGTACTCAATCTGGCGAATGATCAAAATCTGTTTCTTAAGAACACAGTCTTCCATGAAAAAATTTTACTTCATATATTTTATTTATTTTCACACGAAGAATCGCCCGTTTTTCGTTCGCAGCATGAATTACCCCTCATTTTTAACATTATTCTTGTACACAAGGTGTTCGGTAACTCATGTAGCCATAACTAATGAAGATAAAGAACTGATGAAGACAAACATAAAAGTCCCATACCATTACTCGATAATTATGGCGAATTTCGCAAAAAGATAGAGGACTTTTATGTTTGTTTTAATCAGTTCTACGTTTCCATTATGCTATGTCTATATGAGTTATCAAACACCCTATATATGTTCTGAGTATATTTTGTAGGCAGAGGAGAGTCTGTGTGGGATCATATGTGCCACATGAATTCGAAGATAGTAAAGGATGGGAGTAACATAGACGTGGCGAATGACTTTTATAACAAATACAAAGAGGATATACGTTTAGCGAAAAGCATAGGTGTAAGTATTTCCTTTGTATTTGGCTTGTTATAAATGTGTTTAACATCTTCCACCTGTACCAGGTATGTAAATATGAAACCGGAATTTTTGTATAGAAAATACACGTTTATTGTATGAAAATGATAAAAAATATTTTATTCGAAGCATTGCCCATTGCTAGCTATACATTTTTCCCACCTGTCTGACAATTTGTGGATGCCACGCCAAAAAAACTGTTGCTCTTTTGAGCCAAACCAGTCATCGAGCCATTTTCGTACATTTTCGTAAGAAGTGAAGCGCTGCTCAGCAAGTATGTGTCCCATCGATGCAAATAAGTAGTAATCGGACGGAGCCAAGTCTGGTGAGTAAGCCGCATGCGAAAGTATTTCCCAACTAAACGCCTTAATCGTTTCCTTGACCAGTTTTGCTGTGTGTGATGGTGCATTATCATGAAGCAAAATCACTTTGTGTTGCTTATTTTGATATTCTAGTCGTTTTTCACGCAAACCTTGATTCAAATCGATCATTTGTTGTCGGTAGCGTTCAGTATGAACGGTTTCGCCAGGTTTTAGCAGCTCATAATAGATCACACCCTTCTGATCCCACCAAACACAAAGCATTGTCTCCCATCCATAGCGATTTGGCCTTGCAGTCGATGTCGATGGTTCGCCTGGAGTTACCCATGATTTTTTACGCTTAGGATTCTCAAAATATATCTATTTTTCATCGCCAGTCACAATTCGATGGAGAAATGACTTTCTTTTGTACCTGGCGAGCAGCATTTCGCATTTTCGATTTTCCTGCTGTCTTTCATTCAGTTCATGTGGAACCCATCTTCCCATCTTCTGGATCTTTCCCATGGCTTTCAAACGTATGGAGACGGCTTCTCGTGTCACATTTAATTGATCCGCGAGTTGTTGTTGCGTTTAAGCGTCATCCTCATCCAACAATGCCTGCAATTCACTATCTTCAAACTTTTTCGGTGGTCTTCCACGTTCTTCGTTTCTCACGTAAAAATCGTCACGTTTGAATTTTTTAAACCACTCAAAGCACTATGATTTACCAAGAGCATGCTCACCGTAAGCTTCGACAAGCATTAGATGCGATTCTGCAGCAGTTTTCTTCAAATGGTAACAGAAAATAAATGCTGTCCGCAAATCGTAGCTTCCAGGCACAAAATTCGACATGTTCAACGCTATTACAAACTATGCTGTTATAAGAAACTTGTATTGTAAGTTGAAAATCTTTGTCAGATGTCAACAAATTGAAATGGCGCCAATGACGCGGTTTGACGGTAACTACATTGACAGCTAGGGCCATCTATGGGCAAATTCCGGTTTCATATTTACAGACTTGGTAAACGAAGGAATAAAATCTGGCTCATATATGTCGCCAATAAAGGATGACGAGGCGGCAGAAATGATTTGTTGATCTTCATCATTACTTTAACGAAATAATTTATAAAAGATAACCTTGTATGAGTCCACCTAGAGGCTGGAAAACGTTAATTACGACGTATATATCAAAATGTTGCATGCTTATTTATTTTCATGAGACTCTTCGTTCCGCAGACTCAAATGTTTAAGCTCTCCTTCTCGTGGTCGAGAATTTTACCCAAAGGTTTTATAAATTTTATCAATAAAGACGGTGTGCAATTTTATATGAACGTGCTCGACGAAATATTAGCAAATAAAATGACTCCTATGGTTACATTATTCCAATGGGACCTGCCATATAATATGCAGGAAATGGGTGGTTTAACCAATCCTCTGTTTGTTAACTGGTTCGAGCAGTATGCCAGATTTGTATTCTCCACTTTTGGCCACAAGGTAACATTTGTATGCGTTTGAAAATTATGAAAAAACTCCTGATTCTTTAGCTATATAATAGAACTAACGATTATTGTACAGGGTATGCCAAAATAATTTTGACAGAGCTCATGGGGGCATAAGACGTATTAAAGCGAATAAAAGAATCCTATACGATATTCTGCGATTTGCGTTTTGTGATATTTGCAATAATTATCGAGTTATTAATTACAGAAATCTGACAAGTACACGCGCATCGAGATGGTATTGAACGAGTACTGCAATCGTTCGGACCATAGCGTACTAGCGTAGCCCAGTTGATCCAGCAACTGCTGCCAGCGCGCGGCAAAACGTAGAAGCGGCGAAATAAGGGAGGATTCATACCTAGGCAGAAAAGCAGAAAGGCAGCAGCTAATTACAAGTGGCGCTGATAGTTTGTTCTTCTCTTCTGTCTCTGTCTTGAGAGAAGGACAGACTATCAGCGCCATTTGTGATTGACTGCTGTCTTTCTGCTTTCTGCTTTTCTGCCCAGGTGTGAATCCTCTCTTCTGCATAGCCGAATAACAGCATATTCTTCCTCTCATCGTACGTCGGCAACAATTATTAGATCGACTGAGCCGCGTTCTTGTCCGAGTGGCTGCAATGTTTCTCCAATCATCTATATCTCGGCGCACACTCACTCTTCAGATTTCTATTATTAATAATTCGATAATTATCGTGAATATCGCGAAACGATATGGAACATTTTTGTTCACCTTAATTTGTTCTACATTCTCACAAACTTTGTCAAAATTGTTCTTGGACACTTTGTATAAAACAGTTGTTATATCATAAAATAAAATGTGACCGGCATGCAAATCTCTTTCTGAGTCTTGAGATACGCATTGCATAGATACATCATTTTTCGTTGATATATAGGATGTTATATCGCATGCAAGTCAGTAGGACGGTTCATCTATTTGCTGCAAACTCAGGCTGCGTTCTGGTATTCACTGTCAGTACTGAAAATCTATAGTATAAATAATATAAATTATAGATTTTCAATATTGGCAGAGTGAATATCGGAACATAGCTTATCTATTCGGCTGCCATTTTGGTGGGACGTTGGTCGTGTGCGTTCCACTATGATCAATGCATATCACTAAGATTTATTGAAATTATTTAGTAGAGAAATAGACAGGAAATCTGCCGTGCTATGTATTAATGCAACTACCTTTGTACGAAATACTATTGAATTCCATGCAGCACATAAAGTTGAAAAAACGTTGCTGCAACATTGCAACATTGTTTCAAGATTGCAGCAATATTGCTGTAACTTCTGTGATGTATGGGATAATACTTGATCTGGCTTTCAGGTTGGTGCCGTAAATTTCTTTTCGACGTTTTATAAATATTTTAATTCACGCCTTCAGGGACGACTGGAGAATGCTCACGAAATGTCGGGAACCAATCCACAACGTAAACATGGCACCAACTTAAAAGCTTTTGCCTATACTGTGAAAACCTAAAATACCATATTATTGATAATAATTTCAAATCAAGTGATGTAATAAATGCGGCAATAAATATTGCATAGGTGAAATTTTGGATGACTATCAATGAGCCGAATTCGCTTTGCTACGGCGGTTATAGCTATGAATTCATTCCGCTTCTGAACTTATCAGGAATCACAGATTACTTATGTGGCCATCATGCCCTACTCGCTCATGCAAACGTATATCACTTGTACGATCGTGAATTTCGACCCAGTCAAAACGGTAAGACGGAAGTTTCCTTATTGCTCGCGAATTTATTCGAATTTGCGCTCTAGCTTGTCGTAAGCACTTAATCAAATAATCGCACTTTTGGAATTGGCTGCAGGTAAAGTGGGATACAATATAAACGTCCAGTTACCCGTACCTCTAGACCCTACTTCGCAGGATGATATAAACTCCACAGAAGATGATTACCATTGGTCCATCAACGGACTTCTCCATCCGATCTTTAGCAACGCCGGCGATTATCCGCGCATCATGAAGGAACGGATAGCTAATTACAGCAGTGTTCAAGGATTTGCCACTTCGCGTCTACCAAGCTTCACGAACGAACAAATCAACGACATACGCGGCTCGGCTGATTTTCTTGGGTTAAGTTATTATACTTATGATCTGATAAAAGCGCAAGTCGGCAAGTTCGTAGAGATGTATGATGAAGATGTGGGCGCGGCTGCACCGAATGGATTCCAGTATAAGGTAAAGGAAAATGTTAAAAAATTAACCAACTCTTTATTCTCAAGCCATCATTTAAAATTTGCATAGTTTCTTTGGTCATATTAATCTTTTAATAAAATCACGCGGTGATATCAATTTGCCATTAAAGCAAAAAAAAATAGGTAAAGACTTCAAAAACTTCAAAGGTCATTTATGACTTCTATTATTGAAATAAAACATGACTGATAACAAAAATGGATGTGAAAGATATGTTGCCAGAATAAAATACATGCTATATTAGATAAAAACCGTTCTGGGATCTCTCTTATTGTAAATCACACCTGTACATGTAAAGTTGGTCGCCACATAGTCTGTTGTTATTCATTCTGATTATACAGTTCAAATATGTTAGATACCAAAATTCAATATTGCTTATCGACTTTTGAAAATTTAAAAATCATCAAATTAACAAAAGTTAAGGTGTTACTGTAACAATATATTCTTGAGACCAAATAGAGTATTAGTAAAAAAGTCTAGTACCATTTTTTCTTCTGACAAATAGTTAGCGACAATAGTTCCGACAATAGATATCGTAAATTAAATATTAAAAAGTTATCAAGTTGTCCTTAAATATCTTAAAAAATATTAGGTAGATAAAAAAAATATTTCAACAAACAAAAGTTGTTCAAATTAATTGATAGATAAAGATGATATAATAAAAAATTAAGGTTTCTATTTAAGAAAAATAATGATCAGTGAATATCTCGAAAGTGGCGCCATTTGTAAACAAAATGATATAGTTGTTTTATGTCCTTTTTGAAATCATGTAACTAAAACATTTTTTCTAAAACGCTTAATTTTCGAGATATTTCGACGTCCCGGTACTTTTTATACATCTTATATATCTAAAACAAGAAGTGTATTCAAAGAAGAGAAAGTATTTATGCAGAGAAGAAAGAATATTGGTAACTGTTTACTTGAATCTAAATTAAAAAAAATATAGTTAGCGAAGAATATATTAGTGAAGTGATATGTGTATCAAAAATATCTATATTAATAAAAAATATGTATACTAGTAAATATATTATAGATTATATGTATACTAGTAAAAATGTATATTATAAAAATATAATTATATTCTATTGAAGGAACATTTTTTTATTTTTAAGCTATTTTTTCTCTCTGTACAAATGAAGATTTCAATCAATTAAAACGAAAATATTTTCGGAATAATGGAGAATATTAAATTCGCTCTTAAACTAATATGAAAATATTATATTCATTCAATAATTTAGCACATGAGATTTACTCCATATAAATAAAAAACTACATTATAATTTATAATTAGAATATAAATAAAATATAAATAAAATATAAATAAAAAATTACATTAATTTTTGTGATCCCGTTTCACTTTCCACTTTACATTCCAAATAAAATTTTACGCAGAAAAATTTGAAGAGTACATAATCGCTTTTCTTTCTTTGAATCCTATAATGGCAAAATATATATTTCACTTGTTAATTGTAGATATGGAAACGATATAATTTTTTCTTTTTAATGTCAGGATGCACCGCAGATATTCTCTAAAGGAATACAACGAATAAACAATGACTATCACCCCACGATCTACATTACTGAGAACGGCTTCCCCGATGCTCCTTTGGAGGACAAAGCTAAGATAACGTACCTACGAGGGCATCTTGCGGAAGTGTTAAAAGCTATTAAAAACGGCGTCGACATTCGGGCTTACCTAGTGTGGTCGCTATTGGACACCTTCCAGTGGCAACATGGTTATCGGTAAGTTGATTGAATTATTTGAATTTATTTTTTTATTATGGAAAAGTGAATGTATTTTCTTGTTCATGATGAGGAACAACCGTGACGTTCATATTTTTCCAGGCCAAAATTCGGACTTTTTCAAGTTAATTTCAACGATTCGAATCTTATTAGGACTCCAAGATTGTCAGCTAGATACATTGCTCAAGTTTATAAAACACGACATTTGATAGATATGTCGGCTTTAAACGATCTTCCCTCATTGAGTACAACTGCATAAAATATTGATATATAATCACTTATGACAAATTATATGCATACATGTGCGAAAATTGAAAATTTGAAATTAAATATTGAAATCAATGATAACATTGGAATTAATTGCATAATAATATTTTAATATACAATATTGATATATCGTGAATTTAAAACTGGGTAATGGTAAGAAGAAACTTTATTTAAATAAATTTGCATACATTAACCGATAATATAAAATTATTTTTTATTTGTATCTCAAGAATCACATTTTCACGTTTTAAGTGAGGATACCCAAATCTTTGTTTTATGGAAAGTGTAGGAATTTACGTCTTCAACTGCACTAAGAAATCATGTAATACACATTATATTCTTTTAAAATGAATCAATAAAAATGCTTCCGATTGAATCAATAAAACGTATCCCAGATAGCACGCGGACGTCCACTGGACGTCCGTTATATATCCATTTTTTTTTACAAAAGACGTCCATAGGACATACGTTTGTCACAACTTCGGACGTCTATCGGACATGAACGTCCGATGGACGTACATCGGACGTCCTACAGGTCCGACGCCCAAATAAGGACATCCTTGTTACGTCAAATTTATGTCCACGGACGTAAATCGGACATACGGACATAAATTGGACGTGAAACGTACATCCATTGGATGTCCGGTGCTATCTGGGATATTTCATTGATAATCAGTGAATATCATCAATATTCACTAATTTTTAGTAAATTAGATGTCTCATATACAGGGTGCGAAAAAAGATGGAAACCCTTAAAAATCTCGAAAGATATGAGTTTTACAGAAAAGTGTTTCAGACAAAAATTATAAGGTTCAAAACGATGTATTTACTGATCTTATCAGTTTGACCTTGAGTGGCATTACCAAGGTCAAGTCAAGGTCAACTTATTTTTTTTAATAAAAACCACCATTTTTTATTATATTATCTTTTTCTACCAATTAATTTTAATAACTTTGATCTGAAACATTTTTTTATTTGCCTAATATGTTTTTAGATTAAGGAAAACTCGGAAACTTTTTCAATATTTAACTTACGATATCTCGTCAACTATTTGTCGGAAGAAAAAATGCTATTAGACTTTTTTATTCTACTTGGTCTCAAAGATATATTGTTACAATAGTCCTCTGACTTTTATTAATCTGATGATTTTGGAATTTTCAAAAATGAATAAGTTAACAAAAATTGGGGAACTATTGTAACAATATGTTCTTGAGACCAAACAGAGTAAAAAAGTATAGTACCATTTTTTCTTCTGACAAATAGAAAAATCGTAAATTAAATATTGAGAAAATCATCAAGTTTTCCTTAAATATCTCAAAACATATTAGGTAAATAAAAAAATGTTTCAAACGGAAGTTGTTCAAATTAATTGCTAGAAAAAGATGATATAATAATAAATGAGGGTTTCTGTTTAAAAAAGATAAGTTGACCTTGACGTGACCTTTGCAACGCCACTCAAAGTCAAACTGATAAAATCAGTAAATACATCATTTTAAGTCTTATAACTTTTGTCTGAAACACTTTTCTGTAAAACTCATATCTTTCGAAATTTTCAAGGGTTTCCATCTTTTTCCCTCACCCTGTATATCTTATAATATTCAATATTGAATCTCTTAATGTGTTATCTGCGAATGCTGCAAGAAAAATATAATTTTTTTCAGATTCCAGTTAATATGTACATTCAAAGCAGATTTGAGTATACAGGTGTCCCAGAACAATGATATCAGAGCTTGTGAGAGTCTAACGAATTCGTAGAACGAATTAAGGTGAACAAAAAAGTCCCGTACTCAAATTTCCATAATTAATAACTCGATAGTTATTACGAATATCGCAAAATGGTATGGGATTTTTATGTTTATCTTAATCCGTTCTATATTTCCACAAGCTCTGATGTTCTGAGATATTCTGTATATCCAAGTCACATTTACAGTTTTCCCATAAAAAAGCTTGAATGTATATACTGCAGATGAATATAATTACATGCTACATCTCATACAGCATAAAAGTTACAAGAACGTTACTGCAACGTTGCTGCAACATTGTAACATTGTTGCAACATTGCAGCAATGTTGCTGCAACTTTCTGTGCTATGAGATCTATTTATATAATATTTACAAGTGCAATAGAGAGCATTTATTGAGAAAATCTATAAAATTATTCTTTATATTATATGTGATAACGATTAGTCGTTAAATGTCTTCAAATACATTTCAAAAACAATTTGGCAACAATTCCTTCTTACCTCGGCTTTCAAAAATATTAAATATTATATTAATCTCTTTGGTAATATTAGTTTAGAAATTTGTAAAAACCTATAACTTTCTCTTTTTTCCTTACGTTTCATTTTTTCTTTGCAGCACAAGTTTAATGTAATAAATTGTACAGAAATTCTACACGTATTTGCGCGTATGTAATATTTTACCTAATTATGAATATTCGTAGTTCGTCATATATTTAAATACAATCCTGTTTATCAACAATAATCGAGAGCGAGAAGTGTGCCGGAAAAACATCTAAATATATTCTCTAGATATCTTCTCCTTAGTGTCCTACAAACTATACATCGCAAGCTACATGTCTAAATCGTGCACTCGGAATACTTCTTATTTCTGTCAAGAAACTAGAACTCAATTTAATTTTAAATTGATATCACGCAAAAAGTATCAAGCATCGTCAGTTAAACAGAATATATTGACATGATGGCCTCTGCGGAGAACTATTTTAAGGTGTGCATACTGAATTGGACAAATAAATCTTATAACTATAACATTTTCTTTCACCCAAACATTTGTCATGTTTGCAAGAAGACGAATAGTGGCGAATTAATATCATGCAACGGATGCAACATAATCTCCTATTGCAGCGATAAACATAAGATGCAGCACTATTCACAACACAAGCAGATCTGCAATCTTATAAGAGTAGCGTATATACTAGTACATACTAGTACTTAATGTATGTACTAGTACTTAACGAACTACAATACGATTATCCGTTAAGCACATCTCACTGAATACAGTCAAGGAAAGTACTTCTTCAAACAATCAAAGAGCAGATGACACAAATATATCCGTACGAAGAGCAGATGATCATGTTCGCAAAATCGTGCTACATATGTCATCGGCAATTGAATCTGAAAACATGCCAAATATGCTATTCCGAAAATTATTGCATGGAACATAAGGAAGAATTTAATAATCAACACCGATTCAAATGCATAAAGTTATTGTTACTCCTCAATCTGGATATTTTACATCTTCAATTTTGCTTAATTCAACATGATTTCACTACTTTCCCCCTCCCGGAGAAGATATATAACATGGCTGATTTTATTAAATATTATGTGCATCGTTCTTATTCTCTATGTAGAAAAGAAATATATTCTTTAGAAATAGAGTATTTATATTCCGACTACGCGTCAGGACCATTAACACTGTATCATGGGATGAAGGAGTCGGGTCTTTTACATCCATTGGTCATGAACGGATTTCAATATGTTATACACATAATAGTGACTAACACCATTGAAAAAGAATATTGGCAAGCTTGGGAACTTCTCCTGCACCTTTTGCCCTCTATAAAAAACCTAACAATTGTATTAATAGGGCCAATGTTAGAAGAAGACTGTCGTGATATGAAAATTTGCGATAAATGCATATTTCAATTACAGAAATTTCATTTCGAATCTCATTGTAAATTGTACGAAACATATGTGAAAAGTCAGGCGTTTAAGATACCGAATATGATTGTTGAATTTCAGGCAGATTTTGCAAGTCGGAAATCGTATTCGTATAGCGTACTTTTATCACGGATTAGAAATTGCCCGTTGATTTTAACTACTACATCGCTGCAGAAGGCACAACAGAATCAAAATATTATACAATATTTTTTAGGTTCAACTGTAAAACCTATATATAAGTGCCAAAATAGATATGAATCTTTTAGACCTAGGAGAGACATTGAAACTAATTATATATATTTTCGTAATGTATATATAATGATATATAAAAATTTACTCAGTCTGTGGAGACCATTCTAAACGATTTCAAGTTCTCTCACGTGAATACGATACTGCTTCGGTAACAATATTATATGAACCCGTACGGCACAGACAGTTGCGGCAACATTGCAAAATTGCATATTGCATATTTTAATATGGAAGAAATATTGCAAAAATAATATTAATAATATATATTATTAATATAGTTCTTGCATGTTTCTTTTCTGCAAGCAATATTAATAATAATATATATTAGTTATTATCTATTATCTATTATTACTGTGCACAGCAATGTTGCTGCAACGGTGTTGTGCTATATGAAAAGTATTCAAGTTATTTTTATGAATAAGTTACTAATGTTTTTAATAAAGAATACATTTAACATTACACTCATGTTTTTCACTTAAAAAACGCTGACAATAATAAATGCGTACACCAGATATATAGAAACCTTCTTAAGGAAGATACTCGTATAGAAGGTCGGGAAAATCGATTTCTTTTTCGCTAAATCGCTAGTTTTCGATCTATAGAATGTGCTCTCAGAGCCCTAGAGTTGTGTATTCGAGATGTTATTTGTCTTTTAGAGCACATTTTGCACGCACTGCGTGCAATACGGACGCACAGCACCGCGCGCAGCGGAGCACCCGGTGCGGTCGCACTAAAATCTTTTATGCTGATACCCTTCGCTTAGCAAGCTCAATGACAATAAATAGTAAATATTTCTGAAGCGTTTGGGTGAGTAATCTTATACTTGCTCGGAGGAATAACTGTAAATAGCGCTCCAGTATCACAGTTCGCCTGAGCAGCCACTTTTATTGCTGCAAGCATCTTGAACGAGGGCTATTGTGCAATTCTGAAGATTATGAAAATCTTGATTATCAAAATTGGATTGATATGCAAAACGATCGCTGATAGCATCGACGCCGGCCGCACGAAACGACAAGAACGTCGCAGACTAAGCAGCACTAAAGATGCTCGATTGGCTCGAAAAC